CTTTGAATTAATTTAATAATTTATGAAAACACACCAGAAACTTTTACAACTACAGAGCACAATAAAGTATAGTTGAACACTTATATTTTTATGTAAAACCATAAATTAATACTAAATAACTGTCTTCTTTACATCCCTTCTTTCTTCTCCTTTCTCTGTTAGCACACAGTTTCATATAGATGAAGTATAACTCAAACCTATAATTCTCCTGCTCCAACCTCTTGCCTAGTATGCAATGATGGGAAAAAACACAGGTCTTCAAGAATGCAAAAAATACTCTACCTACTAAGCTACATGGCTGGGAAAATAACTGATACTTTGATGTTATAAATGTCACTCAGGTCCTTACTTCACCTCAGACAACTGAAGCATTATTCATCTTCTCTAAGGCTCCTGCCCCTAAGTTCATGATATAGCAGGAAGACATGCAAATAATTTTCTCCTCTGCTCATGAAAACCAGCCCTGACCCTACAGCTCTGACAGGGGAACCCAACTCTGGGCTGACAAGTCCTCTCATTCAGTGTTTACCACTGAGCATAGAACTTCCAGCATGGAGTTGATACTGAGCTGGGTTTTCCTTCTTGCTCTTTTAAAAGGTAATTTATAGAGAAGAGATACTGGTTGTGTAAGTATACATGAGTGTGAGGGTCAGTAGACATTCATGAGAGCTTACTGACAGGATGCTCTGTCTTTTCAGGTGTCCAGTGTGAGGTGCACCTGGTGGAGTCTGGGGGAGGCTTAGTGCAGCCTGGAAAGTCCCTGAAACTCTCCTGTGCAGCCTCTGGATTCACATTCAGTGATGCCTGGATGAACTGGGTCCGCCAGGCTCCAGGGAAGGGGCTAGAGTGGGTTGCACAAATTAGAAACAAAGCTAATAATTATGAAACAAACTATGTGGAGTCTGTGAAAGGCAGATTCACCATCTCAAGAGATGATTCCAAAAGCAGCCTCTACCTGCAAATGAGCAGCTTAAGAGCCGAAGACACCGCCATTTATTACTGTACTGCAGACACAGTAAGGGATCTTCAGTGAGAACCCAGACACAAACCTCCCTGCAGCAGTGCTCAGAACCAGCAGGGGGCGCAGAGCGCACACGGAGAGGAGGAGCAGTTCAGATCAGGAGCAGGAACAGTTGATTGCTGTTTATGTGGTTACAGCTGTTGCTCCATCTACTCATTTCTCAGAATGTTCTCTACATTTATGGTTTGTGAAAACAGGTCTGCTTTTCTGAAGCTTTAAATATATACACCACACAGTCTAATATGAAATATGTGTGGAAAATCACCTCTGATTGCAGAAATGACTCTGCTCAGGACACCAGATGAAATTCTTAGAAGTTCCGCAGCATTCGTGATTTTTCTCCCTCAGAACTTTAAGGGCAAAGCCTCAGTGTTGTTCTGATTAGGACAGCCTTTCACATTGGGGGAACCATCGGGAAGGTGAGGCCACACACCCCAAAAGATCTCAGGTCTTTCTGATTCCCTTGATAACTGTGCACATCAGTCACAGAGCTGACCTGTTTATATTTATAGTTGATCCGGTTTCTTAAACTGTAACTTTCATCATCATATCTTTCATTACATTTTGTTAATAATTTCTGGCCTTTGTTCTAAACATGGACAGAAGCCACTGATTGGAAACTCAGCTGGTGCCTAGGGTGTAACTCTGTGGTAGGAGGGGTGACTGGGAAAGTTATTGGTGAATGAAAATTAAAAAAAATAAAAGAAAAAACAGAAATAAGAATTAAAGAAACGTGACTGCTCCCAGGTAAGGTGGAGGAGAAAGTTTATTATATACATGTGGAGAGCATAGCCAAAGGCAGGGCATCTGGAGAGTCCAGAATAAAGATTACACTGACCAGTGTCAGGGGAGAGGATGGAAAGGAAGGTGGAGCGAGGGGAACAGGGTGTAGCAGCCAAGCAACCCAAAGGAGAGAAGAGAAGGAGCAGGTAACTAAAATAGTTGGATTACATAGGGAAGGGCAGCTGGGGCAGGGAAGCCCAACTCCTTGACTGGAGACATTTAGGGTAGAGGAGGGTTTGCCTGAAAGGATGGCCCTGTAACTGCTAGGGACTGAGAGATGCAGGGAGAACCTGGCAGCTGGTGTCTGCTTTGATATGTTAAATAGAAACCTCTGCCATTTTTCCCAGGTCTAAATCTAACTCTCCAGCCTTTTTTTTTCTTATAAATAAATGACAGCGATGACATGTAATCTTATCTATGACTAACTATTTCATGCTGTCACAGGAATGCCATTGTTGCATGGGGCCCAAGGAAGCTGGGGTGCTGGCCCAGTCTGGGAAGAGCAGACTGTTTCCCTTGCTGACCAGGCTCTACAGCATCTTCTGGGTCAGGGGCTTGCAGACAGCATTTGGAGCAGTTTGTAAGGCTGGACCACCTGGGGCTGCCACCTTGAAGCTTTCTGGGATGCAGATTTTGAGGGAACACCTAGAGCTGGCTAGTTGCTAGAGCAGTCAGCAATTAATTTGAAATCTGGTGGGGCCAATTGTTAAGGGACCAGTCCTGAGCAGTTCTGGCACTGACGTGGTCTGGAAACTGCTTGCACACACAGGAGATTTCTCTGAAGGCCAAATCTTAGTTCTTCATTTTATTTTTGTCTTTCTGCCATTCCTACTGTGTTATCTCTCTGTTCTGTTCTTTTACCCTGTCTTCTTCGTGGACTTGCTATACTCTTATCAGAATCAGAGTATAATGATTGTTTCCAAGATCAATGCAATGGTGTATTCCAGATGCAATGATTTTTGCCAGTTTGCAGGTTATGAAAGATTGATGTCTAAGACCAGTTGCCCTTTCCATTTTCTATATGTTTTGTAGTCTTATAGGGAAAATAGAGAAACAGAGGTGACTTGAAATCTTCACTAATGAGGGAATGCCTTGGTTACTCTGAACGGCGCACAGTGCCCCAGGAGCCAAGGATTCTAACCTGAAATACTCTCACCTGTGCCTTTCAAAGCACCAAGGACAGGTCAACCCCATTATTCCCTGCAAATCATGATGGCTGTAGGCCAAAGCAATATGTTTATTTTTCCTAGGCACAGTAATTTGGCATGTTATAATCATTTAGTGACTCAGTAGTACCACCGGGTAGTGCTGGAGCTGGATCCATCTGACACCATGGAAGACTCTTCACTGTGAGAAATACTAATGACCATAGAAGCACAAATAAAATGAATCTCTGACATATGTTAGGTATCTCCAAATAACCAAGTCATTTTACCTTCATTTGAGTTATGTGTACTGAAGTTTCAGGCATATATTACTGTTCAAGGGAAACAGTTAAACTTCACTGTAATGATCACAAACCATGAAGAACCACTACCAGAGATCCCTGGGTTGGAATTGGTGATAATTTTTTATGTATGGCTGCCTCTAGGTAGAAGACGAGTCTGTTTTCAGTAGTAAAAGGGATAATTATTGGGGAGAGGCAGTCTTAAAAATCACAGCCACAGGAGACCCCCCCAGGGAGTGTGATCTGGACCTGTCCCCAGTGCATGAGCTGGCTTTTTGGAACTTAGCGTCTATGGTGTTTGTGCAGCCTTGGTGCAGGGAGGAGCAGCTTGGACCTGCCTCAACTGAATATACCAGGATCTGCAGATTACAGATGGGAGACATTCCCTTGGAGGAAGTGGGAATGAGGGGTGGCTTGGGGGTGGGAGAAGGAAGGACAGCAGGATCTGTGGTTGATATGTAAATTTAAATATTATTTTTAAATAATAAAAAAGGATCAAAAATCACAGCTACAGAAGAAGGCAATGTGTGCTTATAAAGAAGCCAACGATTAGTTTGTGGTGTGATGTGTGATTTTTATATTGGGCTGTTAAATATTCTATCTCTAGTTTGATAGTCATAAATCCTATCTTCCTTCCTAGAAGGGCATAGATGTAACCATGACTGGCCAATAATAGCTAATTTCCCTGGAACTCAATTGGTTCATGGATTGGTGTATGGTCAGATGGAAGAAATCATAAGCTTTCCTTGGAATTGACAGACTGATGCTGAATGAGACATTCCATTTCTGTTTACATTGTTAAAATGAGAGTGTATGACATGGGTATGAATGCAGGCCATGCACTGTGGAGAGAGGTTCTCAAGGAATGAAGATGGAAGCAGAGACATGAGAGGAAGACTCACACTGATGAAGCCTCAATGTATAGTCAAGGATGACCTTTGACTTCTGATGCTCCTGTGTCCACTTTCCCATTGCTAGGGTTCCTCTACTTTATGTGGTGCTAGAGATTTAAAGCAGGGCTTCATGCATGCTAGGCAGCATACCACCAACTGAACTACATAACAGACCCTAATATATTTTTTTTCAAATTTTAATAGAGATATTTATTTATTTTTATTTGTTTATGTGCTCATATACACACACCTGCAGAGTGATACATAGGTGGAAATCAGAGGACAACCTTTCTCTCCTTCTGTCTTATGGGTACTGGAACTAGAACTCAGGGAATCAGGCTCTGCAGCCAGCATCTTCCTAGGTATACATACAAATAGAGAGAAAGGGGGTGAATTTAATGTAGTCTTCAAAGTCACTAGGTCATAGAGGTAGACCTTGAACTCCTGTCCTCCTGTCTCGACCTGCTGGGGTTACAGGTATATGATACTATACCTAGCCTCTATTTGGTTTAAAGTGAAGACATGAGATGCAGATCCAGCTCAGTGGTAGAGTGCTGGCTTAGCATGTACAAGGAAATAATTTTAGTTTTCAATACTACAGAAAGAAGGGAGGGTGCCAAATCAAGCTGCTTTTTCTATTATTGTCATGTCTACTGCTTTTTTCCAATATAATAAATCTATTTTCTGTGGTGTGATATTTTGATTTAATTGTGAAAGTAAAGCTTGCTTTGAGTCAGAGGGCCGAGCTAGCCACTAGCTGACCAAAACTGACCATAGAAGTTTGGAGCACTGTGGACAGATAGGAGACAGGAAGTAATAAGGTGAGGCTGAGAGAGGATCTCAGCGCTCTTGGAAGAAGAAACAGAAGAGGTAGGAAGGTTCTGTTGGCTGGTTCCCTGTTTCTCTGATCTTTCAGGTTCTTATACCAACATCTAACATCCGATTTCTTATTGATAAAGAATAATTAGATAAACCATTCAGTTTTCTTTGTCAAAAACAAAACAAACAAAAAAAACAAACAACCAGAAAAAAACAAACAAAAACTTCTGTATAAAACAAGCCATATGTACATGCAGAGAAGTTCAGGACCAGCAGGGGGCACACTTGAACAAATAGTCAATAGGACGAAATGAGATGAGGAGTGGAGGGGACTCCATAGCCTCTGTGGACTCCTTTCCTTCTTAAAGTCTGTTAGCTGAACAACACCTGCTGCAGTTGATATGGGAAGTCTCTATGTTCAAACATAGTAAAATCTCTTTGTTCAACAGTGCACAGATTTATATTTCCTCATTTATTTTATTAAGATGTATATATTTAATTTTGATTTTGTGAAAAACATTTTTTATTCAATATATTCTGGCCATGGATTTCCTGAACAGCTCCACCCTCATCGTTCCTACCTCCCCACCTCCCTACCACTCAACTCCATAACATTTTTATCTCTATGTAGAATGTAAACAAAGAGACAAGAAAGGATTTAAAAACAAATCCAAGAGTTACACACCTGCACCCTGCTGGAAAAGCAAATATTAATAGGTTTCATATGAAAGAAGATTACAAATGCTTCTAATTTAGGAGTTTTAGAATTTCCAGACACTATTATCCTCATCAAAAACACCTAAAAATCCACCTAAAAATCCATTTTGGCCCAATTTGGACCAAATGTCTCAGGTTTGAATTCTATTTTTCAATTGAGAGAATAGGCCTTGAAGTTATTCAAACATGGTTTGCACAGGTCTTGGGGAAAGATGAGGATTTGGATCTCAGCTTCCTGATGCCTGACCCTGGTTTACTCTGCCTCCTTCTCCATCTGGACTAGGTCCTTATATAAGAAGTATCCTGCATCATGAATATGCAAATAGTAGGAGAGTATAGTGGTAAAGACAGAGAAATCCACACCAAACACCAACATATGATCAGCGTCCTCTCCACAGTCACTGAGCACACAGGTCCTCACCATGGGATGGAGCTGGACCATCCTTTTCCTCCTGTCAGTAATTACAGGTAAGGGGCTTTCCAGTTCCAAACCTGAAGAGGGAACAGGGACTGAGGTGACAATGACATCCACTCTGCCCTTTCTCTCCACAGGTGTCCACTGCCAGGTCCAGCTGCAGCAGTCTGGTCCTGAGCTGGGGAAACCTGGTTCTTCCGTGAAGTTGTCCTGCAAGGCTTCTGGCTACACCTTTGCCTACTACTATGTGCACTGGGTGAAGCAGAGGCCTGGACAGGGCCTGGAGTGGGTTGGAAGCATATTTCCTGGAACTGGTTATACTGACTACAATCAGAAGTTTAAGGACAAGGCCAAAATGACTGCAGATAAATCCTCCAGCACAGCCTACATGAATCTCAACAGCCTGACCCCTGAGGACTCTGCGGTCTATTACTGTGCAACACACAGTGTTGTAACCACATACTGAGTGTGTCAGAAACCCTGGGGGAGCAGAAAGCTACCCTGGCACTGAGATGACAGAGAAGATTAGACTGGAGACTTGCTCAAATATCATGATTCTGAAGCTCCCTTTGTCACTGCACAGTCTTTTTTTTTCTTTTTATAATTAAGAAAATATTTCATTCATTTTACATACCAATCAAAGATACTGATCTTCCCTACAATTGCCCCCAAACCTCCCCTTTCCAGTCCACCATCCACTCTCCCCAACAAGAAGGCAAGGCCTCCCATGGGGAGACACATTCAGTAGAAGCTGGTCCAAGCTCTTCCCTTGCCTCAAGGCCTCACAAAGTGTCCCATCATAGGTAGTTTGCTCTAAAAAGACTTCTCATGTACCAAAGATGGATGCTGATCATACCACCAGGGGCCCTTCCCCAAGCAGATCAAGCTACACAAGTGTATCACCATGCAGAGGGCCTAGTCCAGTCCCATGCAGACTCCACAACTGTTGATCCAAGTTTCATGAGTTCCCACTCGTTTGGTTTGTTGTCTCTGCAGGTTTCCCCATCATGATCTTGATGCACTTGCTTATAGAATCCCTCTTCTCTCTTTTTGACTAGACTTTTGGAGCTCTGCTTGGTGTTTGGCTGTGGATCTTTGCATCTGCTTCCATCAGTCACTGGAGTAAAGCTCTGTGATGACAGTCAGGGTGTTCACCGATCTGATCACTGGGGTAAGCCAGTTCAGTTCAGATACCCTTTCCACTATTTCTCATAGTCCAACCTGGGGTCATCCTGGAGAATTCCTGGCAAATTCCCTAGCACCGGGGTTCTCTCTATCCCCATGGTTTCTCCCTCCATAATGGTATCTCTTTCATTGCTTTCCCATTCCTTCCCAGTTCCAACTCCACCCTTTCTATTCCTTATGTTCTCATCCCCTACCCTCTACACTCCATTGCCCAACCCTCATCCCTAGTTTATTCTTTGAGATCTATTTCCCCTTCTCAGGGTGATCCATGCTTCCCACTCTGGGTCTTCCTTCATAGCTAGCTTCTCTGGGATTGTGGATTGTTGTTTAGTTTTCATTTGCTTGACATCTAGTATTCACTTATGAGTGAGTACATACCATGTTTGCCCTTCAGAGTCTGGGTTACCTCACTCAGAATGAAATTTTCTAGTTCCATCCTCTTGCCTGCAAATTTCATGATGTCATTGTTTTTCTCTGGTGAGTAGTACTCCATTGTTTATATGTATCACATTTTCTTTTTACATTCTTCAGTTGAGGTGCATCTACGTTGTTGCCAGGTTCTGGCTACTACAAATAATGCTGCTATGAACATAGTTGAGCATGTGTCCTTGT